ACACAGCTGTGTAGATATACAGAGCGATAATGACTAATAGGTGTTTAATAAGTCATAATCTGCCATCTGAGATGAGAACACACGGATGCTTCGGAGCGGTTGTGGTTAGGTTTAGTGTAAACAGTTTAGGGTCATGTGTAAAGAGAACCGCATAACCAAACTGTTTGCGTGTGTGTCACAATGTCAGAAAATATTTTAAGAATAATAGCATAATTAGAAAAATATGCATGGCGTATTATAACAAATTATTCATCCATAAAAATCACCTTTATGCATTGGCTGCTTTAACTTTAGGCCTATTGAAAAAGCTTTCCCAAATTGCAAGCGTGTCAATAGCCTAATTGAAACAAACATTTTCTGGTATTTTCAGATGGGTGTTGAGGTCAAATCAAAAACACAAACATGTGGGTAATGATTTTTATTTATTGTATTGCCATAAGGCTAAATTAACCTTCCCATTCCACTCATGGAGAATCGATTAGAATCTTAATTTCCCCCTTTGTGTTGTGCTTTCTCGTGATCACCGCTTCTCTTTATCTCAGTTTCAGGTCACTCCAACACAGCAAGCCGCAGCTTGCTCTGTTCCTCTGAATTTGGAACCCTCCACCACCATTGGGGATTCTAAATTACCAGCTCTCACAGTCTGACGTCAGAATTAGACGTTCATCCGAATGGTTAAGGGTTAAGGTTTGGGATAGGCTTAAAACAAAAACATCAAAACAACGTTCTATTGCTGGATTCGAATATGCAACCTTATTTAATCGGAGGCAGATGCTTACACGCCCGTCTAACATCCCTGTCCACAACTCCTAGTGAAACCTACTTGAAGGTAACAGCGCTCACTGTTGCCCATAGCGACCGGTTTCCACGTCATCGCCCGATGTCCTCAGACATGGATGGATGTTGAATACTGACTTGTATCACTGGGTGACCTTGCTAATTCTAAAACCAACGCAAATCAGAAACGTCAACTATGCTGCAGCCAGCTATGAGGCTGCTAGCGTTCTGAGGCGACGCCAGGCTGTCTCCAACTCTATTTACATACATCAAGTGGCTGGTCCCGCGCTGTGACAGCAGGTATGCTCTATGGCTCTACTCCTGAAGCATCGGTGGAGAGAGAACACCAGCTAGACTCTAGAACGTTGCTTATCAGTGGATGCCAAGCTCGAGGCCTCCTTTTGTTTACGTCTCAATTAATCCCCATTAGTAGCGCGAGAGCATTAGGGGAGTCCTCATTGGCATACATCTGTTTTGGGCCCAACAGGAGATTAGGGAGAGCAGGGTCTCGATATAGAGCACCCGAGAGGTTAATACAGTAGTTGTTATCAACAATCAGAGTTTATTTGCTGATTTCGATCTAGGCAAATAAAGCAGAAGAGGTACGAGAGAGAGAGAGGACATGAGAGGTGAACTGGTTGAGTTTGTGGTTGTGGAGTGAGCATCTCTTGGGATAAGGGAAAGCCGAAATACAAATTTAGCAAACGAGGATGAGAGTTGTCAGAAAGCTTGGGAAAATAATTCTACTACGAGTGGCTATTTGGAGAGTCAAAATCCTGTCTGCAGTCCAAAAGTTCCGTTGAATTCTTCAGTTGAAGTGTTCTTGTGGCCTATAGCGAGATTGCTTGTGATTTTACAACTGCTTCTAATAGCCTATTATCTGTTCGATTACAACACTTTCATTCAATAGTAACTAAATCTACTAATAATAGGCCTAACAGTAATTATAATTATTATTATTATTATTATTATTATACCTTAGTAGCCTATAGACCTACGGTTTAAGAATGTATCGTTGGCCTATAGCTAGTTCCTGTTTTAACCAAACCTGGCCAATAGGCCCAGAGTTTATCTGAAATGATGCTCCATTTATGTCTAGTATAGGAACCTGTCCCCGCTCCTCCCTTCAAAATATGTCTCCAGAAGATTACGCTGCATGACAACTCTCCAACTCTCCTCGCGCTCTGACGCTTTCCCACGGGGAGCTCACTTAATCTAGGCCAACAGTGATCCTTCCTTTCCCAGTCCCTTTAACAGTGGACACGCTCCAAATGGCACCCTATTTCCAATATATTGCCCCATGGGCCCTGGTCAAAAGTAGTGCACTATTAAGGCAATATAGTGCAATTTGGGACGCATTCAGTGTGTTCGTCTGATGCTTCAGTTTAGCTCTTTAGTAATAAGATATTCTACCCCATTGTGCGTCCTAAATGACACCTTATTCCATATATAGCCTAGTCCATTACTTTTGTCCAGCGCCCATGTAAAATACTGGACTAAATAAGGAATCGGGTGCTATTTGGGACGTATCCTCAGAGATTCTCCACCAGACCAGTTTTTATGGTGCTCATCGACAGGGCGGTGTGATGACTGCTGCTCCTCGTCTGGATAATGTCTTATGCCTGAACCGCTGCTCGCGTGTCTGTCTAATTTCCACTTCCCCTCTCCTCGCGCTCTGCTGATCTGCCCACCGTGGTATGAGCGAGCCTGGCAGTTTCCCACAGAGCCGGGACAACGGCATTGCCGCCAGAGGCTAGCTCTGTCTGTCATGATTAAAATATGAGAAATTAAACAATTGTAGGCTAACGTAAACGAAAAAAGTTCGCACAAAAATCGTTAAAATAAAACGTTTATCCGAAACGTGTGGCTGTTACAAAAGGTAATGAGGATAGGTTTGAGCCGCCCATAAGGAATAGTGAATTCAGATGGTCACATAGTGGGAAAATTAAACATCATATCATCATTGCAGTCCTGAAAGTGGCCTGCTATGTTTAGTCTTTTAATAAATGAGGTTTATCAATTTACTTCGATTTATGTATCTTAATACAAATGTTCAGTGTTTATTAAATGACCGACATTGGATCTATAGCCTATGCTAGGCTGTTTCAAATAGCCTAGGCTATCAAAATCGTGTATTTTCGACATGTTGCGAAATTGAGAGTTAAGAAAGATCAAATGCCTATGCATTATATTTATCTTCTGTAAACATAGCCTATTATTTTCTCATAACGCAATGCCCAATTTCTCATAACCAGGCCGCCATGGTTCTTCTCCTCCTTGAATTCGCTCTGCTCCTTATCCTCCATTCCCGCAGATAGACAGAAATGGTGAAACTTGTAGCAATAATAACCGTTCATTCACACAGCCGCCCCCCGCTGCCTAACCTCCAGCCCTGCTGCCCCGGCTGGGGCTCTCCCTCCCCGCCCCAATCAGAGGCCCTTTCTTCTGGAACAAAAACCTCCCCAAAAGCGAACAAAAGTGAACACTTTTTTCCCCTATCCCAATCGCTGTATAGCGCAGCCAGTTAAAATAACGCACTGCCTGTGCCTCAATTTGGAATATTAGGACGTCAATCTCTCAGCTCTTGGGTTCTTTTGTCTTTGCTGAGTGGCCGGGCCAGCCTACCATACACCTTTTGTCCAGGAATCCAATAAGGCCCATTATTCGGCCTCTCCAGCCCCGCTCGAGCTACTTCTTTCAGGGTATTTTAGGTGGCTAATCGCGTCCTTAAAGCGCCTCAAAGGGAGAATAACTTCCTCTTTTCACACAGACTGGCACCCGCACAATTAATTCGAGTGTGCCTGTTGCCTGGCCTTTTCCAACCGCCTCCCGGGCGCGACACATTTCTAAATGGCAAGATTTTATAACAAAGCTGTTGCTAACAACCTGAGTCGGACCAGCACTAAAAAAGCTATTTTCATGGGTTCGAATAAGTAGGCTACAATTGCAATACGTTTACCTGCTATTGCGGGAATAGGCCATTTTGAATTCATAGTTTTCAGTGAAATATTGTGCACGGGTTTAGTGAAATTGTGTCTAAAGAGAGAGAATGAGTCTTTTCTTGTCTTGATATCCATGTCGTATCTTGCCAAGAGACTATTCATGCCTCAATGTTGCCTATTCATTGTCAGTCGTCTATTCTACTTTGGATGTGGCTTTTTGAAGATGATTGTGATGAAAGTGTTTTGCAGAGATTGTTCTTGTCCAGCATTTTGTAACATTGTTGCTTATCGCTATCCCCATTGTATATACTCGTACTTAAAGGCACATCGTAAAGCAGGTGACATTTCAATAATATCAGACATCTTGCCAAATTAGAACAACTTGTAGATAGCGGGAAGTTTGCCTATTCCTCACTCTTTCTCACACACGCACACACACACACTGGGAGAATTAGGATCCCACCATAGAAAACTCTCAAGAGCCTCACAAAGAATGTAATGGACCGTGGAATGTTTGCGCAAAGTAGCAAAATATGGAATTTATTCGTTTTCGAAAGCAAGTTATGAGATTTTATAACATGTTGTTATTTGTGTTGAGAACTCAAGGTTGGAATACATCCCATTTCAATTTCTGCCATTCCAGGATATTTTTAATGCGATAATGGAATTAATCAAATAAATGTCAATTAATTACATAAGCTTCAAAACAATCAAACACTCTCTTTCTTCTCTTGTCATCATGGCTAAAGAAATATTAGAAATATCAAGCAAGTCCTTGAGAACAGTAGATTGGGAAACTCCACCTATAGGCCATCAGTGTTGAATAATCCGGACATCCTTTTAAGCACATGCTTACAAGTGACTATTTACTCCGTATATCACAATTATCACGTTTATTATCTGGTGATTAGGCCTATCCTATCTATCCAACGTTAACTGGATAGTTGGTCATTCAAATAAAATGCGACCATTGTTGGTCATAAATCCATTTCAACCGTTACGCACAGCTTCTTTCTGATGACCGTCACCGAGAGTGGAGTAAACATGTTGAATTTGCACCTTTTCAGTCTTAATCCAACGACAGCCACCGCACCAGGCAGACACGAAGGCCTATAACTACATAAAAACAACACTGTTTCCGAGATACTGCTGAGAAATAACTATCTTTATTTTAAAAAGGGGAAGAACCCTTAAAAAGCTGCATGAGAGGATTCGATTAATGTCACCGGTGTGGGTATAAAACAATGCCCCGGTTTGATCCCGGGTGTAACCGGAGTGGGGCTACCAGGCCCGGATCCCTTGCAATGAGCCCTGACATGTCGTGACCGCTGTCCCTTGGTGCGTTTGGGGCTGGGGAGAGGCGCTAAGCCCCCCAATGTTCCCCAAGTTCATGGTCATGAAGGGGTTAGCCGTGGTGGATGGGGGGAGAGTAGGGATACTGGTGTAAGTACAGCTGTAGTTGCTGTTGTATGCCGGGTTGTTGTACGTGTAGGCTGGGTATCCGTTATAACTATAGGGGTTCGACCCGTACGGAGCATTGTAGTTCTGAGTCCCGCCCAGACAGGGCTTCCCATCCCTGACCAGGACCGGCACCGCAACTCGTCTTGGCGGGGGAGGGTGGTGATGTCCTGCCAGCTCCAGGGACTTGTCCTGCCGCTGCCGCTTGCACTTGTACCGTCGGTTCTGGAACCAGATTTTGACCTGCGTGGAGGTGAGTTTGAGAGTGCTCGCCAGGTGTTCTCGTTCCGGAGCGGACAGGTACCGCTGCTGCTTGAAACGCCGCTCCAACTCGAACACCTGGGCTTGGGAGAAGAGGACCCGGGGTTTCCGTCTGGTTCTCTGCTTGGCCGGCCGCTCCGAGTCCCCCTGCCCGCTGTCCTCTCCCTCCAGCGGCTTGGACACCACGCCACAGCTCTCTGTGGTGTCAAGAGATGAGCATAAACAATTTGTAGGCTACTCTGAAAAATAGGAATATTGGCTTTTATAATGCAGTGTCCTGAAAAGTTCTCAAGCATATACTTTCAGTCGCCAAACGACTCAACCAGATTACGAGGGGGGGTGCGTAGGCGTTCTTTAATAGTTTATTGAAGTAGCCTATAAAAATACAACATATTTTTGTGTACATATATTTCATAATGTCTTTTATTTGAATGCGTATAGGCTACTACTTTAGTTTTACTGATATTAATGTGTAATTATTTTGTCAATCAGTATAGCCCTACCCTCCAAATAAAACTAAAAACCGTGACACTAAAACGTCTAATCCAAACTATTCAAAACGTGTATATTTCACGATAAATGAGTTTAGATAAATTATGTAAAAGAAACAAGAGAGCACTATATAGTGAGAATTATTCATGGATATATACAGCTGTCTAAAGGTATGACCATAAATCAAAACCAAAGACAACAATTATTCCACAATGTTTACTTTCACTTGGTTGCAGGCTAGGCCTACTCGGTGTCGTTTATTTTTAAGACTTCTTTACATTCATGCTATTCTATTGGCCATAAAGTAGTTATAATCCAATAACATAATTTAAACTAATTTATCAGTCTATTCAGCCCTTAGAATAAAGACAATAGCATAATGAAAACATCTTTATACCCGTTGAGATATTTATTCTCCTGCCTAACTAAATTAATGTTTTATTTGTATAATCATTCAACAAATCAGATACACGAGATTAATGAATTACTTAAAAATCTCCAGACCCATTTTGGATTAAAATGTAGTTTTGTCGAATTCTAACAGGCCTCGTTCGTCTTTTGAAATCATAATACACTCACAAAACTCCTGCGCCTAACATTTAGCCTAAAACAAATACATTTTCACATTCCGGAATAATTTATTGCTTTATCCTTACATTTTCTGGTTTTATATAGACAGTCGATGCAAACCATCATGAGTTTGTATATTGAGAGAGGCTATAATAGATCATTTATTCAAAGCGATGCTTTGTGTCCCTTTGTTCATACATAATTTCAGCAGAACAAAAATCTCATAATATTCATCATATTATTCTACTCACTGTTTTCCTGATCCTCCAGGTCTACCTCCAGCTTCGGGTCTGTCAGTTGGCCCAGCCCGGAATGGACGAACATCTCCGGGGACAGACTGGCCTCTCCATGCCGGTCCCGGGCCCCCAGAGAACTCATGTAAGCCATGTTGTCCTCCCCGTCCGAGAACCGAGGGCTGTTGACCGCTGAAGCAAGCATACAGGACGGCGGCGCCTGGAAATGCTGGGACTGGGTCTGCTGTTGCTGGGTCGAGTCCGGCTGTACTAAGTGTTGTTGGGTGTGGGACAGGTGTTGGATCTGTTGCGGGTCCAGATGTCGAGATTGGTGCTGTTGAGATCGCTGCTGCTGCTCTAGCTGCTCGAGTTTGAGAATATCCTTGACTGAGAACGGCGTGGAAGTGAGTGGGCTCGGGAGCATCATGCCATCGAGGTCCTGCTCGCGCGCATTAAGGAAATGGAACCCGCTGAGTAACATATGATACTATGTACCCCGTTTTAAAGAATCATTGATTTAGAGGCTCGGTAATCGGAGGTGCGCGCGCTAAACTGCTGGATATTCCACCTCATCCCCGGATGAAAAGAAACAAAGGTTTGGTTAGGCTTAGTCCTATAAGTGTGGCCTGGTTCTCCATAGGCTATAGACAAACCAGCAGTGCGGTGCGATCTTTTGACAGTTCAGTTCCTGTGTGTTTTTGTAACTGGAGTTGGGAGCAGGGCTGGGCGAAGCCCCTTGTCTCTTCCCGTGATGTCACTTGGTCTAGGTCTGGGGCGGGATGTATGAAACAGAAAGAAAGGGAAGGTGGTGAGAGGAGCCAGTGCGCGAGCGAGCTAAGTATTTGGTGACGTTGGGAGGGGAGCGGAGGTATAGAAGAGGGTGACCCGCCTCCATTGTACCCCCCCCCCCCCAACCCCCCTCTATATATAATACCCTCCCTACATTTTCTGCGCTATAGGCCTATAGGTTGCCCATTAATTTACGCATTTATCAGTTTTATTCTTATTCATTTGTTTTGGATGATTTGTTACGATAACTTGGTCCGGAATCACACCGGTGGTGCACCACTTCTCCTAAACGAATACATCGGGGAGAGGACAGCAGAGTAGGAACTTTGACTGTGGATTTATTGCTGACTTACTTTGGGGCATTTGAGAACGCTGGAGAGAGACAAAACACTCATCAAACACATGTGCATGCTCCCTCTTTCCAGGAGTGCATGAAATAGCCTACACCCTGACAAATATATATATATCTTTCGAAATAGGCCATCAACTGGAATTCAAATATGACTTTTACGCATGGCGAAAACGAGGAAATAAAGTAATTGTCCCTTTTTGTGAACTTCATCTATAGTGCACCGTTCCAAATGTTCCTGTAGATATTGTTTTGAACTACGTCAATGACAAGTTATGGATGTGCGTGCGGTGCGTAATCCCTCCATATCTCATGGGGACGTGAGTGGGAAAGCTGTGCAGGCTATCGAGCAAAAGCACGAGGAGAAAACGCCAAGCTACATGTCTGTCACTGTGTGTAGGTCAAGTGTCCGGCCTCTGCCAGGCCTACATATTCCATACAGCCATGCACATTGAGTGCCGGTTTCCCGGACACAGAGATATTGGACTCAAACACTTTCTGTAGTGAATCTCCATTAAACATGCGTTTTAGTCTAGGGCTTAATATTTGTGCGGGGAACCGCCCACATAGTAGGCCTATACGGTTTTATAGGCCTATGTAGCTTGTTCTGTTTGTTGAAATGAAATGTGGTTCTACGTTGAGTGTACAAAATATTAGGAATACCAGCTCGTTCCATGACAGACTGACCGGGTGAATGCTATGATCCCTTATTGATGTCTCCTCTTAAATCCACTTCAATCAGTGTAGAGTTGTACTTTTTAGTCATTTAGCAGACGCGTTTATCCAGAGCGACTTACAGTAGTGAGTGCATACATTCCAGACAGATGAAAGGGGAGAAGACACTTTAAAGAAGGATTTTTAAGGTTTGAGACAATTGAGACATGGATTGTGTGTGTGTGTGTGAGCCATTCAATGGGCAAGACAAAATATTTAAGTACCTTTGAACGGGGTATGGTAGTAGGTGGCACCGGCGTGAGTGTTTTCAAGAACTGCAACGCTGCTGGGTTTTTCACGGTCAACAGTTTCCCGTGTGTATAAAGAATGGTCCACCACCCAAAGGACATCCAGCCAACTTGACACAACTGTGGGAAGCATTGGAGTCAACATGGGCCAGCATCCCTGTGGAAGGCTTTCGACACCTTGTAGAGTCCATGCCCCGACAAATTGAGGTTGTTCTGAGGGAAAAAGGGGGTGCAACTCAATATTAGGAAGGTGTTCCTAATGTTTTGTACACTCAATGTATATGCTTCACAATGCACCAATGATGACATGAATCAAAAAGGAAAGGGTGCAAATCTACTGCATTGAAAAAACTCACTTTGTATTTAATGTCAGAGCAGATGCATCACAGCAGGTATACGTTTCGGTCCTCAGACCTTCCCCAAGCTGCATGCAAAAACGCAGCACCGGCCCCTCCATTAATTAGTGCTGTGGAAGGACAGATCTACGTTTTTGATCAATGATAACATACCATGCAGCACTACTGTAATTCAACACATTTGAACAGTACGTCATTGGCAATAACCGAATAACAAGTGTAGCCTAGCCTATCAGCTAGCGGTGCTGCAGCAGCCTATTAGCCCAAAGATGCCGTGCACATCTGTACACATTATAAGCAAACAAAAAGCCTACGTGAAGAGTAGCTAGCTCCAGCAGTAGCCCATGGCCGGTGTCTCTGTGCCTCCTTATCCGGGTATATTAATAACTCCGTGGGGACGATAAGCAGGGCATCCGCGGCAATTAACATTCCTCCAGCAAAACTGATTGACGTTTTTAGCCAATACAATCTGCTCGGTATCAACTCCCTTTCCGTTTCAGACACACACACACACTCTCTCACACACACACACTCACACACACACACACACACACACTCACACACACACACACACACACGGCTGTCACTATGTGGCCTCGGCTCTCCGCCGGTCCCTCACTTACACAGTCACTCCTGTAGCCTGAGTAACGTTTTTCATGCATGGCAGCGAGGCAGGGTTTTCCCTCACCAGACACAAAGCAGAGAGGTGCCATGGTATTATCTAGCTCTGACAGACAGATTAGTCCACCCATTTGCTGTGTGTGTGTGTGTTTGCATGTTCCTTTGTTCAAATGTGCGTGCACCATATCTGTGCCATAAAGTCGAATCAAATGCAATCTCAAATCTGATCTGAAATCTGACTTAATACAGATGCCGGCTAGGCCCAACCATAAACCATAGCAAGACAGCGCAGAGGCGTATAGGCCTACTCATGACAATGATTAACTGACTAGAGAGAGACCTAGAGGAGTAGGAGGGCGGATATTGTCAGATATATGTCTGATGATGAAGTCTGGTTACACGGCTCGCAGACACGCCGGCGCGCATTCTGATTCGTGGTATATCAACGCCACCGGTCATGTCCTCGTGGAAGTCGGGACACTCGTAAAATAGTGCCTAACAAGGCCACCGGTGGACTGTGTTTAGACTGGCCACGGGACGACGGGGCCCGAGCCACCATCATGTAGTTTAAATAAGCATTAAATCCAACGACGCTAAGCGATTGTTGGGTAACGCGATGCGTTCTGAGGTCAAGGAGAAGCATTGGAAAATAGTTTTGCCCCATGCTTAGGAGATTCATTTACATTTTAAGTAATTTAGCAGACGCTCTTATCCAGAGAGACTTACAGTTAGTGAGTGCATACATTTTTCATACTGGCCCCCCGTGGGAAACGAACCCACAACCCTGGCGTTGCAAGCGCCATGCTCTACCAATTGAGCTACATGAGGCCTGTATTCATGCCGGAAAAGTTATGCTATACGTTGTTGATGGATGGTTAGGTGGATGTTATATTTTCGATAGCTACACGAACGACTGAAACATTTTTTCCCATTAACTTCTTATCAAAAAAACAACAAGCATCTCGAAAAACATACATTCATTGTAGCCTTTTAAAAACGTTCTTTACATTTAGGCCAAATGTTTCTCCTGCATGAATCATACTGCGAGAATGTGTAATTGCACGGAAGTTAATTTTAATTGTTTGGATATTTTGGTAGTCTAGTGCCAATTCATATGCCTATTTATTTTACACTTACCTTCTTTCGTTGTTTAAATGGTCACAGTGGCATATACTTGTTCTATGAACGAAACGTTATCAACCTTTTTGAATTGTATTTGTTGGGTACATTCAATGAAAATAGGCCTTCACGAAAAGGGCAATTAATTTAGAAAGAAATTAATTAAACTATGCCTAAAAAAGTAATTGTAGAGAGAGATCTACTGTGTTCTACTCATGATCATGCCTTTTATACAATAGTGATTTTATTAATTCAAGTTATTAGTAGATGAAGGCTATTTGGATACTCAGACGACAGCACTAATTAGTTTTTGGCCACATTGATTGTGAATCATTTATTATTAATATTATTATTATTATTATTATGATTATTATGATTCACAATCAACGTGTCCAAAAACGAATTTGTGCTGTCAAAAACTAATGAGCTATTATGCTTTTATTACATCTTCATAATAGTAATCGTTGTTGTTATTTTTTGGCAAACTCATATGTTAACGTTGATTATATTGATTTACATTCATTTGCGCAGAAATGTCTGTGCCTTTTTAGCCTTTATTCTTCATTGTTCTGGTGTTATTTTAGGTGCATAGGCCGATAGACCGGTTAGTCAGTCCCCAACTCTTTATTACCCCGGTTATAGACCGCAGCCGTGGCTTCCGAACAGAAACGACGAGAGGCGGAAAAGCGTTGAGAATCAAACGCTGTTGGACAAAACACAGAACCCTCGGATTTTCTCACCTTATTATGCCACGTGACGTCTCTTAACCGCGTTCTCTTTCCTCTGCTCAGCGCCATGATCAAAGCATGACCACCGCGGACACCGAACCTCCCCAAGTCTCTCTCTCTCTGGATGCTGAGGTTGCTTTATGTCGGGATGTATCACATAGGCCAAGGCCTAATATCTCTCCGCACTCTTTGATAGGTTTAATAGCACGTATTAAAGTATGTGGCCGCCTTGTGCTAAGTGTTAAAGTATTAAGATAAATCAAAATGGAAGAACAATAGCCTATAGCCCGTCGCCGGCCTTTGGTCTTTGCTGTTTCAAACAATGTTTCTTCCATATTTCACTTGTTTTCTGTGTCAAATCAGGAGGGTCTGAGATTTCAGTGAGATTTCAGGGTTAGGCGTTTACCTGTCTTTTGGGAAAGGAGTGGGGGGTAAGGGGTAGAGGGTATGGGGGGGGGGCAACAAAAGGAAATGCTACACCTCTTGTCGTCTGTCAATTGTGGCCAAGTATAGGCGCCAGGGCAGAATGCTTGGTTGCTGTTGGAACCATTGGGCAG